TCCAAATGCCTACTGGATGGTATTTGCTCAGAATTTACAGCCAGAAGTTGAAGCAGGCACTTGCCTGCTGTATCTGAAAGTCACAAAGAAAATCAGTCTGGCAACTCATGTGAAATTATCTTTTGTTATTTATTTTGTCTGTCAGTCTTTGTCCAGATGGCTTCGTCTTCTCTTTCAAGGTCTGTCAAGAATCTGTGCTTGAATCTTAAGTGACTATTGAAAAGCTTTAAACAATAGTCTATCTTATTCAATTGTTTTGTTCTCTAAATAGATACAACATCAAATTGTAGCTTGTAGAACATGAACAGAGTGAAGGGACATGTTTGAGCCACATTCTCACTCTAAAGGATGCCACTGAGGACCACTTAGCTCATATATTCTGTTACTATTTTTGGTATAAAAGGAATACAGACAGAAACTTTAGAGTGATTCAGTGTCAGTGAGTAGATTTGAAACAGCATCATCTCCATGGTTGAAGGACATTTCCCCGTTTCAGGTAAATGTCAATAGGTATTTTTATATTATTTGGCGGGTTTGTAACTGCCTTATCCAACAAAGAAAACTACCATTTAACTTGCTTACATGGTTATTTTCCCCCTCTTTTCAAAATAACTTGAACACCAAATACTCTTCTGTCATCTTGAAAATACATGTTTTGGCCAAAACCACAAATTAGGTTTAATTCAACTTGGGGAGGGGGGAAAGAGAGGAGGATATGGGGTTGATGCAGAGAAAAACAGCCCTCATGTTTTTAACCAGAATTCAGTCTCAAGGGCAAACTATGCGAACAGATTTGAACCCTTGGCAGTCACACTCCAGGAGAATGCTGGGATAACCAGTGGCACATCCTCTAAACACGTTCTCTCTGTGGTTTTCCATGTGGCATAAGATCATAAAATACCTGTTGCAAATATTTATACTACTTCCATGTGAGTCAGACATGAGACTACGGAGTTATTCTGTCTCTCATTCTCATTAAATACATGGATACACAGGACAGTGAACACCACAGAGACTAAAGGGTGAAAACACCCAACACTTGTTCACCTCAACTACCAGCACAGTGTTAATTTGAAAATAGGCCTTTCATCTGACTACTATTACCTTTCATCTAACCACCATTCTCTCTGACATAACACATTTTCAGATATTTTACACAAAACACCCCAGTGGGCACACAAAGGAAGGAGATTCAATGTTAGACCTTCTAGCACAGGCCTTCTGAACAGATCAGTGTTCCTGAGGTCGACTCCTCAGGCAGAAGCAAATGATAAAGTCACCCTGGGGAGTGCTGTAATTCCTGGGTGGAGGTGAAAACAACCTCTTTTAAAAACAAAACAAAACAAAAACCCAAACAAACAAACAAAAACCAAAAACAAACAAACAAAAAACCAAAACAAAAAAACAAAAACCAGCTTACAGCATCTATATTCTTTGTTGGAAATGACACTTTCACGAGCTCAATATATGTGATACTGTGCTGGTTTAACAGTTAACCAGCAGGGGAAATGAACTCAACTCAAAGGAGAGATTATAAATCAGAATAACAATTTACTAAAATAATACAGTAAGTACAATCAATCAAACAAACAATTGGTCTTAACCCACAAAACCCAAATGTATAACCCAGTACCCTGGGGCATGAACAAAGTGGTGTTCCTTGGGCCCCGCTTGAGTCCAAAGTAAAGGGAGAGGGGAAGAACCTGCTGGTGGGAGAGCTGTTGCAGTCTGGTCAAAGTGGTGATTGCAGTGAGATGCTGGGGGAAGAGCTGTTGCAGTCTTTCTCTGGATCCCACAGAGTGGTTAAAAATGTTCCGAGACTCCAAGATTATATATCCTCCAGCTCAGGCAGGAATGCCCAGCACTTCCCTCAGGGCGGGGAGTTCCACAAAGGGTGTGAGGACAGGAGCATCCTCCTATCTCACAGGCCTCTTAACACCCAGTTTATAGCCTGAGGAGTCAGGCTCTATGGGCAGATGGTGTAAATGGTTCATTGATAACAGTTTCTGGGAAATGGCATGGAAGGCTATAGAATACACAGTTTTGGGTTACACCCATACCCTGATGAACTGGTCTCAGTTGTCCTAACTAGGACAGATACCAAGAAACATAAAAACACCTTTCTCTCAAAAACATGTGGTCTCTATAATAAGGAATACTGTATTATATTTGCCTGGGTTTACTTAGTAGGCAAACTGCTCTGGTTAATGCTCCACATCACTGCCTGAGCTTGTACACAGAGCTCTGAGGTTTTGATCCCAAGCAGGAAATGTCTGGCCACTGTAATTAAAGCTCAGGGAAACAAGGATGTGTCACCACAGAGCTGCAAACCTTTCCTGTCTTCACTGGAAGTAGTTGAGGATAAACTGTTGTATGATGATGGCCACCTAAGAAAACACTGAACCACTGAGTATTGTCAGAAACTGAATCTCACCTGCCAGCCTTCATGGCTTCATTTCCCAATTTTGATCATCACTCAAGTCATAATAACATTTCATTCTTTTGTATTATCCTTTTGATTTTCACGTAGACAGGCAGCACTCCCAGGAGAATTTCAACACGGCAAAGCAAGCCATCAGTATCCTTATTTAATTCCCCTATGCTCCTCTCTTTGCTACTTGATGTATACAACGTGAATTTAAGATGAGTTGTATGGAAAACTTGAGGTGAACTTCCAGAATTTAAAACAAACCAAAATTAAGAGGATCAACATATATATTAATCCAATACTAAGATTATAACTCAGTTGCTCTTTTCCATGTGAACACAAATAGGAGAGTTTTCTGATTTGATCCATTTCTGTAAAAGAAGTTGAGACTTTCTCTGTAACAAGGTTTTCTGAAGAAACTCTTACAGATGTGTATGAATATATTTCAAATTGGTTAAAGTGCAGGTTTAGTAGTTTTAGAAGTGACAGAGTGATCAAAGAATTCATTAGACTGCCAGAAGTTCCTTATCAACTGAGGCAGATGGAAAATACACCTAGAATAAGGAACACTTTGAGAACGTTTTCTTTAACCAACAAAATCAGCTTTTTATTTAGAAGTTATAATTTCAAGGCATTTTTATTTTATTCTGATCTTGCTAATGAACAGTTGCTTACTGTGTCTGCACTGATTAAAATCCAGCACCACTATGTTTGTGGTATTGCCCTGACACTTTCAATTGAGGAATAGCAGAGTAGCACAAGGAAGAGTGATGGGATGCATAATTATGCACAGATGTCATATTAGCTAAAGTAACCCCCAACTGTTTGTGATAAAACTTCCAGCGGGGTTAATAGATCAGTATATTTTTTTGTTTCATTAGAAAGGACAAGGATGAAAGAAAGATGCTTTACTTATATCCGGGAAGGATCCACAGCTCAGTTGTACAATTAATTCAGATGAACACAGAAATAAATGTTCATGAATATGTTTCTGCATACTGAAATGCATCTACATTAATTGTTCAGTCACATATTGTATTTTACATAAATATTGCAGCAAGAAGTTTGAAGACAAAATGTTTATACAGATACAAAATTTCAGATGAAATGCTTTCTTTAAGTCCTCTGAAAATTTTAACTCATTGAAAAAGGAAACAAAAATCTCTGTGCAATTCCTGCATCCTACCAAACTGCTTTGATTTCAAATGGCAAGCATTTAACATTAATTCTAGACACGCAATTTATACCCCAAAAACTCTCCTCACTGACAGCTCCACCCCTCCTTGATGCCAAACAATAAATACATTTGAAGACATCTTAAGCTTCTTTGTGAAATCCAATTAAACAAATCATTAAGTGATTTTTATCAGTGAACTATTTCTACACATCACCTCTTTCAACACTAGAGTACATCTGAAATATGGAGTAAGCAGCAATGATTTTGAATTACACTAACAGCCTAAGTCACAGTGATGAAAAATCAGTGTAGACCCCAGTATAAGCTACTGAACATGGGTATGTGGACTTAAATTTTGAAATTCCAAAGGATAACACACTGCTGAGAAAAACCTAACAGTAATACAAGTCCCACAAAGGCTGAAATTCCCAAATATAGATCACTGTCTAAAAAAGGTAGAAGCATGAAAATGGTACATCTGTTTTCTTATCTGCCCTTCTAAAAGGTTAGCTTTAGTGCAATTAGAAGCTTCAAGCTAGATGTGAAACTTTCTTGTTCTTCTTATGTTTCAATCTATTTTTAGAGTAAAACCAGAAAACCTCAACTCTATTCAATCCCATGTTCTTGTAAGGCTGTAATTTAAAGAGACCCTCATGGTGTAAGAAGAAACTGCACAGACCATGGTTTTGAGAACAGAATCCACGTTAAGAAACACTTAGAGTGTCAAGAAATCTAACTTTATAATGTTAACCCTTAAAAAAAATTATTAACCATGCAATCACAGAGTCATAGACTCCAACACCTTTATCAAAGACAGGTGGCACATCCCAAAGTTGACATTAAGCACTGCTGGGATCTGTCTGCTCCTGTCAGCATTGGAAGGATTAACACTGAATTCCAGTAATTTATGATTGGGCTCTAACTAACCAGGAAGAAACATTTCATCCTTTGTCACTAATCATCACTAGCCAGGAGGTTTTAGACTAATTATTTTTAAACATCTTACAGGAAAACTGACTGTCCAATTCCAGTGGCACAAAATTCATGTCCCTTCACTTTGGAGGGCAAAAACTGTTCTACCTCACAGAGTCACACAATGGCCTGGGTTGGAAGTGACCTTAAAGACCATCTAGTTCTTATCTCCTGCCATGGACAGGGACACCCTTTCATAACATTCAACTTTAATAATGCTTCTTATAAACCAGTTTGCTTAATTGTGACAATAAAACATTAACTGAAGTCCTTCACAGTCACCTAAATTTTCTCACAACGTGCCAGTCAAGCTTGGCTTTGACTGGAAAAGGAAACACCACAAACAGCTCTTTTGGGGGGAAAGGGAGGGCTCACGATTTTTCACTTGTTCAATATAATCTTATACTTTTTAACTCTACTTACCCCGAGCACTCGGGAAGCGTTTCTGCTCGTTCCAATGCGTTCTGGCATCAAACATTTTAGTGTGGCCATGACAGCCCTCTGCAAGGCCTGCAGACAGAGAAAAACAGAAAAAACCCCTTTCTTTAAAGATAGTCAGGCTTATTTGCTGGGTTAGAGTTTAGGTATGCACAGAGCAGGCAGGTTTGGATAGTTTTTCTCTGACAGTTGGTGGTAGAAGAGCACAGAGAAGACCCCTTAAAGCAATATTCTTAGACCAAACAACTATTGTTGGGTTTCCTGTTGCCTCTACAGCCACAATCCATTGGACAGTGCATAATCCACCTGCACGGAGCAGAATAACAAAACCTAAGGTCTCATTTCTCACCTTTTATATAAAAGTTTGTGTTTCCAGACCCTTCTCCCACGTGTGGCTGCTCTCTGGTAAGCCACATGGCTGGTTAATGCTTTCACAAATCAACTTCATCTTGTTGCAAACGAGAATTTATCATTTCTGTGTTTAAAACAAAACCCTACACACAGCTTATTTTCAGTTTATTTAAACTGCATCAAGTCACAAAACAGATAGTCCTGCAGTTATCGAAGACGCATAGGAGGGGGCTTTTATGCAAATCCACAGTTATCCCTTTGACTTTTGGGGCTTTGCTGCAAGTTTTCTCCACTTATTTGTTTGATTATAACAGTTTTGTAAAACACCACGTCGTTTAAACACGTCATGTTTCACGCACTGAGTGGAAACATCAAAGCTTTGATGTGAGATTTGTTTCCACATTCCAACCATGTGGAGGACTCGGTTTTAACATCTTGAAGAGGACTTCCTAATGGGATTAGAAGGTCAGGGTAAAATCTAGAACTTGGAAACACTGATTCCCTAACCACTTCACTACAGGTTTTCAATTAGAGTCCTCTGCCCTAAAATGTAGCATTAAATTCTTGCCTGTTGTACAATAATTGAGGGAGGTAAAAGAATCTGAAAGAAAACAGAAAAGAAAAAAAAAATCCAAAGCCTTCTTGTAGTAAATTAACTTTAAAAGGGATAAATCCAGCTGAACTTGGGCTGTGGTACAGACCTCAATTATTCTGCTGCAAGAGACCAGAGAACACTGTTCTGGGATTCCTTTTAAATAATCTTTTCATTCCTGTGCATTATTAGATGTGATATGTTACACAGTATATGAATGTCACCTAACCAAGAATTTGGCATTACTATTGCAAACACATCTAACAGATAAAAGTAGCAAAACCTAGAATTAAGTATTCATGCTGTAAATTAATATTACCATTTGCTAATCAGCAACCTTTGCTCCTGAGGAGCAGCACCACGAAGGAAGAGTGTAACTGCAACTTCTTCTTCAAATATCAGTGATATTCAGTCTTTTTCTTGGCTAAAAAGCAGCTGTTGAGCACTTCCTTATTACCAGCCAAGCCAAACACATTTTGGAAAATTGTACTGTATGCTCCATGTGGAGCAGCAGATATGTGAGTTCTCCCAGTTTCTCCACAGAAGTACATCCTAAAGAAGCTGCTCATGGTTTCACAGCCTTTTGCTGGTAGTTTATTCCCTGAAAACTGAAGTTTTGATTTCACAGAAAAGGAAACTCAAAGCTTGAAAAGCTCAAACGTTCCAACTGGGTATTTTAAAATTAGTCACTGAGATTGAATCTTGCTACACATACCATGGAATATCAAAGGAAACAAAGCCAAAAATTTCTGATAGTTGTTTGTTACATTTCAAATCTGAGTGACAAAATAGTCACTTTTCTGATTTGAGCAAACTTTTTTTAGAAAAAAATTCAATAACTAAACTGAAAAAAAAAAAAAAATCCACTTTCTAAACTACTTTATTTCCATCAAGGAATTTTTCTCACTGACCCAAACACGATCAACAGGGTGGGGGTTACCCTTCTGCACACGAGCAGAAAGAGCCAAGAAAATTAAATGCATCTTAAATGATTATTTGTCTGTCATTTTGCTGCCATTTACATCAGAGGCAACTACTGCTCACAGGAAAAAAAGCATAAAGACTACACTGGAACCTGCTTTAAATTACCTTCTAGGATGAAGGCTTTATTTACAACCAATATATTCCATTAAGAAATACTTCCACTTTTTCTAGGTTAATCAATCTCCAGGGATCCATATGATTCAATGCAAGAAACAATAAGATAAACACCTTTGCCTTCCCCACACATTCGTGGCAAAAGCTTTTAAAGAACAAGGGCTATACTAAGCAAAAAAAAAAAATATTACAGGAGTTAGAAAAACAAACAAAATCAATACTTTTCTTTCATTAGCTATTCAAACAGACATTCAGTCAATACCATGTATGGGAAGTATCTATCACCACTTACAAAGGAATAATTTGGAAAATATCTCATTCTGACCCTAGCTCTGATTATTTAAATTAAGAAAAAAATTATTGGGATAAGTAACAGACCGTTAAAGTCAAAAGTGCTACTGACTACAGACTATTTAAAAAAAAAAACAGAACTAAAGTAAAATTAAAATACCAACGAATGATCAGAGTCCAAAAGCATCCCTAGCCTCAGAATTGTAGGTGTTCCCAGGTTAAAGGCTCTGCAATGATTTACTCTTGATGATCTGGTCTCTGCAGCTTCACTTCATTTACTCTAATTGCCTTGGCAGAGGCAAAGATAATGTTTGGCTGGACCACAAAGCCTGTGCCTGGACCTGTGTTACCAGCCTGACTCCTGCCAAGAAAGAATTTTTAAGAAAGAATTCCAGCAGGGGGGGGTTGAAGGAAAGACAGGACTAGGCTGGAAGTAGAGTATTAGGATAGCTTTGAAATATTATTGATTTGAACATTCTGACTGTGACCCTGACCTGGCCAGCACTGTTTGCCCAAACCTCCACCTCTGGATTCAACAGAAGTTGTTCTGTGCTACTGCAGTTGGATTTACAGGTTGGATACAACTTCCCTTTGCAGTCCTCAGCCCAGAAAATTAAAAGTATCTCCATGAAGTGTCATGAAGGGCTTTTTGCCCGTAATGTGTTTATTTTTAGTATCAGAAGTATCTTAATTTCTGTGCTAATGACCAGTTCAAAAATCTAAACCTGCAATTTAGGCAGCTGTATTCAGTACTGTACATGGGCCTCCTGAAAAGAAATCAATAATATAGTTTTAACTCATCTTGAATGTAATCAATTTATTTAAGTGCATGAATTTTAGATACATCCCCTACGTATTTTTCTGTCATCAGAAGTAAACTTCTTTCATTGTGAATAAAATGTAAATAACCTTGTCAGACAGAAGTCTATAAATCTGTAAATCAAAGAGACTTTTATCCTCAAAGTTTGTCTCTGTTCAGAATATTTGATCTTCCTGGGAAATACCCAGCCCTGATAAAAGGGACAGAGGTTGAAGTTTGACTTTTACATTTACATTCAGTGTCTGAAGCTGAGAGATGCTGAGTTTTGAGTCTTGCTGCCTCAGCATCTTAGCCTGCCACAGTCACAGCTTGCCAAGGCACTTTAAAGAAAGGCAGCTAAAAGTTATGGGGTGGTTGAATTGGATCAGGAAAAGAGCTACAGCACCTTTTTAATGTGAATTACGTTGCTTTGGCAAAAGCAGCCCCTTTTAAGCAGATTCCTAAATTAGAAACGCTTAGTCATCATTGAGTAAGTCAGTTCAAAGTGTTTCCTACCACTTGTTAGTAGCAGCAGAGGATCCTGGCACAGGTAAGAGCACCCAAACAACCTCTGGTTCACGTGATTCAAAGTGTATTTCCAGCCAAAGAACAGATGGCATCTGGAATGAATACCAGGTTTACAGGAAAATGGGCATACTAGCAGTTTGTGGAAACAAGGGGGCAAATGGAATGAGAGGAAGGTTCAAAAAATGCTATCAGAGATTTCAGGGGGAAGCTCACCAGTTACTTGGATCACGTTGAGAAAACTGCATTGAAAAATCTTCACCTGGAAAATTGATTTTTTGGTTCCCCTACCAGGCAGATACCCTGGTACAACAAAACACAGCCATTTTACTCCATGGATAGCCTTAAAATAACCTGAGTTACTTTGCAGTCACTGCACAAAGAGAGATTTAGGCAAGATGGAGCAATACATGTATGTGCATTTTTGTAACATGCAACAGTACTTGAGAGGGATGAGTTTAACATCTCTCTCTTACAGTACATACATTTGTCCAGAGCTTAATATAAACACAAATAACCCTGATCAGAAACAACTGTTATCAACAGCATCAACAGCTCTAAATTCAGCTCCAAGAAAGCAAAATCAATGATCTATATATTCATTTCATGCATTTATACAGCGTGATACAATCAGCCTAAAACTACTTTAAGTTGCATATTTATGTGTAATTTAACAAGAAAAAGGAAGGACTATTTGCATCAGTCTTGTTGAAATACCCACCCTTGAACCACCAGGCACTAAAATTAAGGTGTCCATTACAAAGAGTCATTTTTCATCCCTGAGGTGAAGTTATTTGTGCTGTTGTACAGACATGAAAGGTGCTGTCAGTTTTAGTCAAAGCACTTTCAGTAAGACAACCAACAAGCTAAATTTGGGTTCCATAGGTCACACCAATCACTTGCATGTTATTTTTATTTTGGCATTTTGCTTGGATAATCAGATTATACCTGCATTTCAGTCTTTCAAAATTTGATTAGGCAAAGCCTTCATTCATTCAAGCCACTTGCACAATTATGGCAGATAATTAAGGGAAGTAGACAAAGATGAAGAAGAAATCAAAGCTGACGTGAGGTAGGAAAAAAAATAAAAAAACCTGAATTAGCATTTTCTCTTTGTCAAAGAGGCTCCTTCTCCACCTGAGCTCCTTTTCCTCCTCTCAGGCATCTCCCTAAGCAGAGTATTCCCAGGTGTTGACAGGTTGGCAGATTTCTGTGAATTTTTTGGACCTGTGAATGTCCATTCTTTATTTAGCAGTGGTGCCCACCAGGTACCAGCAGCTCTGAAGCACATCAGGATGGGGTCTCGGCTCACCAGCACAGCCTCCCGGAGCCACTACTAAATTTGGGGTGGACAGAGGAACATTTTCAGCCTCTTGGGAGGTCATGATTCAG